TATTTATTCTTGAGAGAGAAACAGAGTGTGAGCAGTGGGGGGGCAGAGAGAGAGGGAGACACAGAATCTGAAGCAGGCTCCAGGCTCCGAGCTGTCAGCATGGAGCCAGACACAGGGCTTGAACCCACAAACCATGAGATCATGACCTGAGTGGAAGTCGGACACTCAACTGACTGAGTCACCCAAGTGCCCCTTCTGGCCATATATCTTAAAGCCTTTAAGGGGTCAGTTGAAAAAGAACTCACCTCCTAAATCCTTTCTCATGAGTCAGCCCCCTGTATCCTTCCCCCACTGCTCCCCTACTTTAGTCATCCCTCAACTCCCCTGAAATCTGTGGTCCACCACTAGATGGTCTTTAAACATGCACAGTTCTCCCAGTGTTTAACACTTGCAGCAACTCAGTGTCCCCCAAGCACCTCTTCCCACCCTCTTGTGGCCCCAGAAATAGCATGGTATTTCTGTAATTATAATACTGTACCGTGTGTGTGTGTGTGTGTGTGTGTGTGTGCACGCATGCGTGAATGTGTGTTGGCATTTGCATAAAAAACAATTTTTAAAAAAGGAACAAAAACTGGAGAGTTTTGCATTTTGGCGGGTTTTTTTTTTTGTATTTGCGCAGACCATTTTAGGATTTTCAGTCTCAACAAAACACTATTAAAACGAAGAATCTAGTAAAATATTTGTGCATGTACTGCTAAACAATTCTAGCAATTTTATTAAGCAATACCTTTATTATTTTTTGAATATTCTTAACAGACTGGAACAAAACATTTTTTTTATTCAAAACAAAATATGCATACTGTACGCATGTCGCAGGGTTAAGTATGATGCAGAGATTAAAGTTTGTTTGAACAAAAACAAATGCCTGGGGGAATTTCATAGCTATAAAGTTAATAACTAAATTTTGTTCGCTACGAGGACCTTTTCTATGGTTTTCCTTCATCTCCCAGCTACACAGCAAACATATCTGAAGTGCACTTCCCAAGTGTAGTTAGAGTATAGGAAGGAATGTAAAGTGTTTTTTTTAATTATTTGTTTTGTTTGTTTGTTTTTTTAAAAACAGCCCTTATGAACTCTTCCTTCCACTGATTCTACTGTAAACTCATAAAAGCCTTTTTTAGAAAGCAAATTCATGTACACTCAGCAGGTGAAATGTTCCCACGAAAAGAAAAATACAAACAGAGCGATCTGATTTCTTCTCTTTTTGTCAACTACCTAGAGCGTGTTCCAGTGACAGAGTTTTTGCACTTGAATGAAAATGGCTAACCTATTTGTTTTTTAAACAAGTTCTTCTTTTGTGATAATGCAGAATTGCATACACTTTATACCTGGAATAATTTAAAAATCATAGGTGGGGGAATACGGGGGTAAAATTGTATATATTCTGTATTCTGCCGGTGTTGGAGCATCTCTGCGGTCTCCTCCACGACCACAAAGGAGGAGAAAGAAACCCAGATTTGTGTCCTCAGTCCCTTTGCTGCCCTTGCAAGGGCCCGAGCTAGCCGAGACCCGCACGAGAGCCCGCCCGCAGTCCCGCAGGAGGGGCATCCAGCCGCGCCCGTCCTGACTCTGGGCGGGCTCGCGG